TTGTGAGAATTTTTTAACAGGGAAATGACTGTAGGATTTGACCTACCAACAGGTCAGATGCGTGCAGATGGATTGACAGCTCTTTCCCATGTTCTTTAGTCAGTTGAGTCTCCTGCTGACTTTGGGGAAAGATTTGACTATGCAAAAACCACTTGGGGTGTTTTTGGTGTTAAGAGGAGTGGATGAAGCTGCAGTGTTCAGTATGAACCAGCTACAACAAAACCTGTTTTCTTTGGCTCTTTTTATTAAACTTGTGTTCAAGGTAAGCAATGCCTACGTAAATCGCTTCTCTTTTGCAGTATGACGGTCATTGCTGTCAGAGATGAAGTTCCAAACAGAAGAAAGCAGAAAATGAGGAGCTGATAGAATTTTGACAGCGGGAATTCAGTAAGTCAGCAAACACATTTTTACTGGCTTGATGACTGGTCTGCTGGTGGTGCTATCTGGCTCAACCATGTACCAGCCAGGTGGCTCTGCATTCTTTTATTGGTTATTGACAGGTCAAACAAAAAGCTTTCAGAGCATCAGATCTTTTGACAAGTCACTTGCTCTTCACTATTTGTACTGGGTGACAAAGCCCCTCTCACACAAAGATTTGACACCTGCATGGACAAACTCTTAATTAGTTACTGACTTTCAGTTAGAAAACCTTCCCTTTTAACTGCAGTGTAATTGTTTTGTCTGTGCTTGTGTTTTGCCCACACACAGTGGGTCATTCTCATACATTCTTATTCCTTCAAGAAGTTCTGCTTCAAGTAAAAAGAAACACATGTAATCCAGGCTCTCACTATCACAGCCAGTCTCACTGTTCATGAAACCTTCCACTAAATGCTTTAGTACACACTTCACATAGAAGTGATTAATGTTTCAAGCTTCTGACATTTTATTGACGTTTTGGGTTCAATTCTGATTCTCGTGTCTGCTTGCAAACTTGAAAAAAGTGTGGTCTCGAAAACAGAAGAGGAGAAGAACAATCGTCAGTATTTTTGAAGACTCCTTATTTCTGTGCAAGTATACAATATATATCTTTAATAAAAGAGCTGGGCTAAGGGGGTGGACTTATTCATTTGCTCCTCTAATGAGCTATACAGCTTTCATCATTCTGGAAAATAGTTTCAAGGAAAAAGTAGAAGCTCTCAGGAGTTCAATGTGAATGTTAGTTCAGTGCTTAAAAATTGGTTTTGGAATTCTGGCATTTTGTGTTAGCTGGGTCAGAAAAGCTGCTTAACTCTCCTTCTCAAAAACTGAAGGCTCATCCAGAGGTAAGTCGATTAACTGGGTCCAAATATGCCCTCAAAAGAAGCTGCTTGCCTAATGACCTTTTACTTCCACAGATTTTTATAAGATGTCTAGGTATGAAAAAGTTTTCTGTAAAAGATAAAAAGATTAGATTTTCCCCAGTTCACCTGTCTTCCAGTAAGGAGTAGGAGAAATCAACACACTAGTACTGGAGTTGCCAACATGAACTTTATCCTTCTGCTAGAGTCCTTGGCTGAGTCCATGGAGATACACACTGGTGGGATCTGGCAAACTGAATACAAATCTTTTTTTCAAAACAAAATTGATCATGTTCCTCATGAATTTGAGCTTTGATAGAATAAGATAGCTGGACCTATCAAAGGTTGGTACTTGCTAAAATAAATGGTATTTGTTTAATGGTGCTAAGTTATTCAGCATAGCTGTGCTGAAATCTGCCTGCAGAAGGTTATAGAGAGATGTCACACTGCTGCCTGTTTCGTGAAAGGGCAGAGAAAACAGTATCACTAAGCTTAGTTATACCTGTAATCTTCCAGATTCTTCCACACTGAGAATCTCCTTCCCTAGAAATCCACAGGGATTTTGAAGTCATCTGTGCACTGACTGGCACCAATGGTTATTATTAAAAATAATTTAACTGCAGGTAATATTAAAAATCAATTTTAATTATGGTTTGCAACAACAGTGATCTCAGGCTTATTTCTACAGGTGGCAAAACTCTTGTTTCACTTTGGCACACAGAAACACAATGCCTATTTGCTGACCCCAAAGTTTCCATGGCATATTTGTATAATTTCCTGTGGAGTCACTCATAATATCCTGTTATAAACAGGAATAAATGCGACGCTTGGAGCAAGTCTGCAATATCAAGACACTGTTATGTGTAACTTTCCCGGGATTTTCCCGGGAACATTATTATGTGATAAGAACAAAAGAAATGCAATCATTTTAGAATGGGAAGCAATCAATAATCAAAAGCAAATACAGCATGGGTCATGCATCTGTCACCTTATACACGAGCAGGATGTTTATATTAGTCAATATTCGGCACCAACAGAGAGGTTGAGGCCAACAAACTAAAGTTTGCATTCTCTGTTCTTCTAAGAGTTACAAGTATTTTTTCAGGGACTTTCCAGTATTTCTTCCAATGACTTCATCTATAGTTTGCAGCATTTATACATTTGAGAGAAATATACTTTCAGTATTACAAGAACAGTAACACTGAAGTTCAAGGGAACAAATTACAATTTGTGATTGAAAATGCTTCCGATACAAGAGCAGAACTCCAGCAACCAAGCATGGGAGGGGGAGTTTGAGGATAAGGAAAGGACATTGCTTGGTTGTTTGGTAGTTGCCACTCTCCTCTTGCCCCCCAGTCAAACTTTTTGGTGAAAGAAGGAAATAAAAGTGGTTTGGAAGGAAGGTTAAATAAGGGACCAAGAGAATAGCTGAGGACAGAAGGGACATGTAAACACCTCTGCTACTTTTCATCGTGAGGAGGGTAGTGAGATGAAAGGAAGGGGATGAATGCTCATGGCAGCTGTAAAGTGGAATGGCCTTCTGAGAGTCTTGCAGAAATACAACTTAGATGCTAAAGGAAGTGACCAAGGGGAGCAGAAGCTTTCATGAGCTTGGGAAAAGGAGGAGATGAACAAGGACATTTAGTTAACTGCAGTGAAATCCCAGGGTCTGCCTTTCCATTGTGTTGCAAGTGTTCTGGCTCAATCATTGCCTGCTCAGCTCCTTGGTATGTTACACAGACGTGCAGATGTACACACACACAGAGACGCTGCATAGTCTGCATGGTTCCAAAGGGTGCCGTTTTCCCCTGGGGCTTCTGCATGGTCTGACAACTGAAGGGCCACAGGGCACATTGTTTAGAGCTGGAGTGGCTGAACTCTGCGGTGGCCTAATCGCTGAAGTAACCAGTGCTACACCCTCCTTTTCTTGAGCTTTCCCCCTAGTCTGACCAGGTAGGTGGGATTATAGAACACGGTGTATCTAGAGGAGTCATGCAGTTCCTAACGAGAGCCTTCATCCTGGTTTGCTGTATTGAAAACTCCTAAGGGGTGAGCAGAAGGGAACAAGTTTATGTAAAGAACCTTAGTGGTTTAGCTTTCTTATAGTCAGTTGGATCAGAAAACAGGTACTTTGCTACTTTCCATTCAGATCACGTAAGATAGACCATGAAGACAAAAAGCAATTTGGATGATGGAATTTCCTCTTACTTTCAGTCCCCAAAAAGGAGAACAAACCCTCCAGCAATTACTGAGTCAATATCCACACCTGTTTTACCATGTCTGAACACAGCTTTCCTAATTGTGTTCTTGCTGGCAGCACAGGTCATCTTCTAGTGCTCTACTTGTCCTCTAATCTTTCTTCTCTATCTGTACTACCTTTCCCATTTAGTAAATCCTGATCCACATTACAAGAAGAGATTTCTTCGAATTATCAGAGAACTTTATTTTTACTATTTTCTTGCAATAGCCGAGTCCTCCCTCTAACAGCAGCAGGTTACCTAGAGTATTTCCCAGTAAGTGAGGACTGGTGATTTCAGTGCTGATGACTGTGCTCTGGATTTTATCTGGATTGTTTTATGCTGCAATTTTTTGCACATTAAGATTACAAGCTAACTCTGTGAAAGCTTTTCCAGCTCTACAGGCAGCTGATTTTTTTCAGTTGTTTCTTACTTCAGCTGACTTAAAAATATAGTTAATTTTGCTTCCTAAGGAGTTATATTTTTTATTCACTTTGCTGGTACCTGAAGAAAAATTACATTAAGCCAAAGAATGGTAACAGAAAGAGGGAAACTCAGCTTTTATCTCATTTTCAATAAGAGAACATACCCACTTCAGAAGACAGACTAAGTGGTGTTAACCTTACTTTGCTCTCCTGGCCTTGAAGTGCTTTTATTCAGGGTTATAAAATTATCATGCAGGGACACAACATGGGCCAAGGAGAGGATCAGCATCTATCTTACAGAGAAGGGTCTTCAAGAAGAAGCAAGCCAGAAACAGCTCTCTCTTATTTTACTATCCCAAAGCTACCTGGCAAAAATCCTTCTGCTATTGTAAGACTATCTAGATCAGAGGTAACAGTGAAATAAAAGTGTGCATCCCTCAAATAAACAGGTATACTCTAGTTTAAAGTAACAGCCTTTAAACCTGTGCCCTTTCTCTCCTGTTCCCGTTTCCCTTTCTGACAATCTTTAAAAGAGGCAGGCATCGTGTGCTCAGCACTCTGCATTCCAGGGATCAGAATAAGAAGCAGTTGTTACACCAGGGCAAAGGCTTGCTATTTGGGCACCCAAAGTAAAGATCACAAATTCCCATTTGGATAGTTAAATGGTGGCCTTTTGATGTAGTAAAGATTTACAACTCTGGGGCTAATCTGTACGTTGGCAGTGCTTAGGTATCTGAGGGTAAAATTCTCTTATCTGCAAGGTAGTTAAGGAAGGGGCCTTGGCCTGCAGCCCACCCCTCCCCATGGATTGGGAACAGCCAAAAGAGGAAAGTGAGCCATTTACCCTACCTAAGGATTTGTTAGTGTATTCGGGAATGTCAGGTTACCATGAGAGGGGGAGTTATGGTACCATGGACTGAAAGGTTTCATTTCAGTTCCAGAAATCAAGCTGACAAAGATAAAGCAGACTGCTTCCAAATATAGCAAATGAAAATTTAAAACATCAAACATAACAAATGGATTTCTCATATAAAACTTTTAATAATACATTGTTAGGAGTAATTACATTCACAATCAATTTCTATGTATGTAAGATGCAATTTTTTGCGTTAGCTGATGGAGTAGCTAATTAGACATACAATCAATTACAGAACAATGAGATTGTATTTCTTCAGAAATTAATAGTAGGAATGAAAAATTCAGTAGAAGTTAAATAAATTATAATAGTTTTCGTTCTTGCATAGAAACTACTCAATAAATACGTTTATAAATACCATGGAAATCACAATACATAAATACCAAACACAGTGTTACACGTTCTGTAGTTAGTTTTTTCAAGTTCGACATTACAGTTCACAGTCTGGCCACAGGCTGACTGTGGTTGAGGAGGCTGTTGTTGACACAACATACTAGTGCACTCCAGGGGAGCAGGAGGATTCATCAGTTTGCTGGTGCAATAGCAAAAATAAACAGTGCGGCAAGTGCATTGCACTTCACCGGTTGTGTTTGGCTGAAGTGGCTGCCAGGGGTTCTCAATCTCCCTCAGCAAACCACTTTTCCGGCAGTGTCAAGGGACAGTGTGTGTCCCACGGACAACTGACCATTGTGAAGGACTTCCTTAAATACATGCAGTTAAATAAATAGTTAAATAAATAGAACCGTCCATAATTAACATTACAACACGCATGCAGGAGGTGGAAGATGGTGCACTGCCTGAACGATGCTCCTCTTGGAGGAGCAGGAGCAGTTCCCAGATTTTTTCTGTCCTGGTGTTTCTTAGAGCGGTGAGTCAGAATTTTGCTGAGCCCTGTTAAGAGGTGAGGAAATAAGATTATTTAAGAGAGTGTTCAAGACAGTTATCACTGCTTAGCATTGCACAAACAGTTAGGGATGAGGGGTCTCTTTCCAATTCCATGTGCTATCTTGTGGGACAGCGAGAATAAAGTAAATGTTTCAAAAGCAATTCCTGAAATCCCAGCATGTGCGTCTGGTGCCCAGCTGGGAAACCTCTGCGGCCTGAGCTTCTGCATTGACTTGCAGCAAGAACCTCATGAACTCAGAAACAGGAATTTGGTAAGGGGAAGATGACTTTTCTAAAGCCTCATTTTCAAAGGGAGCTGAACTCATCAGTGTTTCTGTCCCTGCAGATGAAGTTGCTGGTACTCAGAGGTTTAGTACTGATGTATCAGCTTGAGCAAGGACCCTGCAGCAGGGTCAGAAAAACTAGGACTAATTCTGTAATTAAACAGGAAATTTCCCTGTTGTTTAAATGTGGTTAAGAAGGAATAGAAAGTATCGCTAAGAAATCCTACAAATTGGTTTTCTTTTGGGAGTTTTACCTCTCAACTGCCCAAATTGAGAGGGAATGGGACTTACTTGGCCAAAATTGCCTGTATGATCCGCTGTACCCAGGGAGCATTGGGCTCCAAGCACACTTCTCTGCCGTCCTTCAGAGTAGCTCTGCAAAACAGGGGGTAAAGAAGAGTCAGGAAACTGCTGCATGGATTGTTTTACTCGCAAAATGTGTTCTTGCATTTTTACATCAGATAGTTTAAATTCATCTCGGCCGCTGTAGCTTAGATTTGACCATTTTGTTTTATATGTTCCACAAGTGAAGAGACTAGAACCCTCCATAATTGTGTGAGCCTGTGTGTCTGCTCTGAAGGCGGTTGCACATTCCCAAAAATCTCTATCAATATATATAGATGCTTGGTTTGGATTTGTTTACATTAGAAAAGTTTCTTACACAATTGAAACCTCCAGTGGTGAAAAAGTGGTTCAGCAGTATAAGGATTTCAACATTTTAATCCCTCCCCTGGGCTATTCAGACCAGGTTAAGTTCGTTGTTTCCCTGAATCTGTGTCTGGGAACTTAATTTTTCTCATTGAGCCTAATAAATGCAGGATTCAAGCTATGTCATTACCTCGTGTATTAAGAACTGACAAGTCCTTGCAATTTATATTCTACCTCTAGAAATATTTAATATGTCCCGTGACAGATGAGCAATGATCAGTTCAGGAATACAGGCTCATAGAGACAGTGAAAAATGTGGTGTATCACTTAAAGCTGTCTCTCCCAAAATAATAACCAAATCTGACTAAATCAGGTCAGCCTGCTCACTGTCATACTTGTGAAGCCCCAAAGTCCTGCAGCAGTGGCAGCAGCAGGGTGTATGAAGAGGAGGGAGCCTCTTGCAGAGCTACTTACATGACTTCAACGTTCTGGCAGTGGGGGCCGCTCTGTGTCAGCTTCACATCCTGAATGGATTTCGGAGGGATGAACCTGGAATGAGTGGCTATGCACTGGCACCGGAGCTCGGTTCCCATCCTTGCCACGCTCCTACCTGTGAGCAGAAAGGGCAGATTGGGGTTTAACAGGTGGGGTTTATCATAACTATATCAGACATAAAGCAAGGCTGCTCTAGTCTAACAATGTTCTCAATTAAAATATTGCATTTGTCCAAGCTGCCTAAATCCTCAGGGCATGAGTATCAGTAGCTTATTTGTTTCAGAGGAACTGATGCCCAAGCACATTGGAAACTAAATTAAAACATTTTTTAAAAATGAACCCACATATTTTATGGTTCCTTGTACTTGACTACACTGTATAGTTAATTGCATTATTTGAATATCTGGTTCAAAAAACTTGGCCACTCTGCAGAAGACAGAGCCTCAGACTTGTTCTTTGGTTGGAGGCTTGCCCATGCTTCTCTTCATATTGTTTGCTCTCTGTTTTCCCAACTGCATATTACTTGCTTGAGGCAGGATGGTCACCAAGCAACTAATATGAGATAACTGTTCTCTGTGTGGGAAAGCAGAGAAATATTGGAACACTTCGGAAGATCCTGTCTCTAGCTGCATGCACTTCAAATGAAACATAGAAACAAAGCAAATGCAAGTTGCATCCTTAAAATTTTTCCCACGAGGTGTCAGTAACTTTTCAGTCCAAAGGCTCTCTTTCTGACTGAAGAGAGGTGCTGAAAAGCTCCCAAACTAATTTACTGAGACAAATAGAAAGTTACTCTGCAAGGAGAAGCTTCTCAGTAGATGCCTGGACAATGCTACAGCCATGGGGTCCTTGGGTGGCTTTACTTACCTTGAGACACAGCTGCTGAAAGCAGGAAAAGAGCCAGGACAGCCACAAGTTTGCCGTTCATGGTTGGACAGGAGTTTTTCTGTGGGTTGTTCAGCTCTGGTTCTGTGGAGCAGTGAGCTCGTGTCCCGGAGGATTGTTGATGCTGGCTCTGGGAGATCCATCACGCTTATATACAGTTTTGTGCCCAGCCTGTGTGCTCTGCTGGCATGGAGATTGCGTTACAGGAATTTCCCAGATGCAGTAAAAATGAGTCACATGACTGTTGTGAAACTCCTTCCTAGATGACGAGGAATTATTCTGCTAAGAATGATATATTAATTTATTAAAATATGTATATAGTAGCCACACATTCCAATTTTTTTGGTAGACTTTTGAGAATTTTGTGCATTTTCTAATGTATACCCTTGTTTAGTAAGATAACTTTAGGATGGTTTTAGTTACATTTATGCTACCACTTTGAATTATTTTCTTCAGTTCCTTAAACTATTCTTTGTAGGGATGCCAGATCTATACTTGATACTGAATTTCTTATCCCCATCTACGATGACAGCTTCTGCTCCCCTGATTTAAGCCATTGGAGTGGAAACTGTGCAGTGCTGAAATCACTATAAAGTTTTTTTTCACTGGGGTCAGCATTTTACCTCAACACTCTTTTGATGTAAACTAGTTTCATTTTTGTTCTTTTTTTTCCTGTTCGAGTGGCATCTTACAAAGTAAATTCATCACTGATACTCTGTTCAGTGAGGAACTGAGGGCTCAGTATTCAAAGCTGCCTGTGGGAAGCAGATATTGAATTCTGAATGGATTTGAAAATCATTCCTGTACTTTTCATGTCACGCATGTTAATGAATGATAAACAGAGGAAGCTTTATAGGCAAAATAACAGCATGACCTGGTCAACACAACTGCTTTTGTTTCCTCTGTAAGTCCAGATAATTTTTATAACTCCTTTCTGAAGTGTTTTTGCAGTGACAGTAACCTTGGTTCTTAGCAAAGGGAGATAACAGTAAGTATTATGGCACTGTTAGACATTTCTGTTAGGGAACATTGTTGTGCGAATGCTGAGTCTTTGTTTGCTGTGGCAGGTAGAGACATTGCCTCTTGAGGGAGACAATTCCAAGGGAAGATGGGCTCAAACGCTGATCCATTGCTTAAATTAAGATTTGGGTTTTTTAACCCAGCTGGAGTGTGTGTGATTGCAAGAAGCTGTTCTGTTTTGGTGCTGTAAAAACATTGTCCTTCTGTAATGGTGACTTCTGCTGCTTCTCATCTCCACCCTCACAGCTTTGTGGGTTTGGGATCTGTGGATTGATAGAGGCACTTCTCTCCAACTCTGAGAAGTTCATAAAAACTCAATCATCTTTAGTAGGTAAAGCATTATAATTTATTTCTAGTGAGAACTGAAAGATTTCTTATGGTTTATTGTGATACACTTGTCATTAACTCGATAAAAGGAACTCTGCAATGAAAATTCATTTGTTTCCCATTACTATGTCAGCCATCCCAGGAAAAGATCCAGCAGCTTTGTCTCTTGTACCTCTTACTGAATATTGCATTGACCAAAGATTCTGATTCTGACCCCTGAGGGTGCTCTTCCTTAGCTGTGTCTCTTAGAGATCTTCACTGAAAAATACATTTAGTTCTCTGAAAGTGTGACACAGAAGAGGGTTTTGCCAGGAACTGAGGTTTATGTTTTACTGCTTATATTGTATTATGATGTTTATGTTATATTAATGTGTGGTTTCACTAGCATCAGATTGTAGATGTTGGAGTTTTAACCAGTTTACTTGAAACAAGGCTTTGCTGATTTTTTTTCTTTTGGCTTCTTATCTCTGTGTCTCACACACACAGAGGTTAATTAACATTCGATTAGGGGTCCCACTTTTCTATTATTTGCAGCCTTATTGTCTAATTTTGGTGCACACTCAAATGTTATCAATACTTGGGGGAAAAAAAGGAGAATTCCCCTTCAAATCCCCAAGGGAACTCAGTGACTGCTTGTTCTCCTTACCACCACACTCAGCTATTTCCTGCGTGTGGCAGTAATGGATCTGCAGAAATCCCCAGGTCAGAAGTGAAGCCAAGAGCCTGCTCCACCTGTGCTTAGCCCTGCCCCCAAACCAAGAGTATCTATCTAAAATAGCAGGATGTTTGTAATGAAATGTACATCCACTATGTTTTCTGAGAGCTGAAGCATCTCCTCTCCCTCCACTTTTTTGCTGATGTTGCGGTTTCATTGGGATTATGTGAAGGGGTGTAAGAGACAATAGTGGGATGAAAAGGTTGAGGCTTGGGATCAAGCCTGAAGGCCAGTCACGTCTGATCTGCATTCCTGGGAGTGCCATGTTTCACCCAAGTTCTCCCTACATCCCTGCAACACTTTGCCCAGGATCTTATCCAGGCTTCTGCCATGGGAACTGCAAATCCAGTGTTGGATTTTGGCAGCGTGTGTTTTCCTGCCAGCCATCAGAGATGACTGATGCAAATGGAATTGGTGCTCCCTTTGAAGGATCACGTCACCGAGTGAGCTGATACTGCTGCGAGCAGAGACCTTCCATGCTAAACCCTGTTAAAACCACACTGGCAGTGAACAAAACAACACTTATGCAATAGTCTGATTGCTGAAACTTGCTGAAAAGGAAATAAGTACCTCCCTTGCCTGTGTTCTAAGGCAGGATATAGGATGAGTTCTCTATGTTGCAGGATGGAAACTAGTGGTTTTTCATGACTCATCACCTTGTCTACTGAGCACAAAAGTCAAAAGGCTGTATTTTAGGATCTTGATTGGGATCTTTGTATGTAGCAAAGCACACCCCACACAAGGGGATTCAGGTCTTTTACAGTGACCAAGACCATCACTAGGGATGCGGTAAAGCTGAGCCTCAGTCTCTTATTGGTTTGAGTAGCTGCAGTTCCAGAGGAATACTCCAGTTCCTGGGCTGGTAAAGTTACTGTAAGAAAATTAAGAATCTATCTTGTTTTAGACAAATTCCAACCTCTCACTTGAGAAGTTGTGCGCACAAGACCCAAAGGCCCAGGAGGCAAAGTTTTTGCTGGAATGAGGGTTCAGCCTGTGCAAGCTGAGCTTGTGCAAGGTGAGTGTCAACTCCTGTCTCCTATGTGTCCTCTCTACCAGCTACTCTTGTTCCCCAAGTTAAAAATCTCACTCTATCTTCTGAAACCACCTCCTTTGCTCTGCAAAGGGCTTGGTATTCGCCTGCCATTCCACTTGAGCTGCAGAAAGCTGAGGGGACAAATACAGGAGCTAGGAAATAATCTCTTCTGCTGCTCAGAAGCTGGACACAATGTTGTGCAAACACTCCTGGAAATTTACAGTGAGGCAGAGCTTAGGGAAAGATATATAAAAAGCAAAATATCTGCTAGACATCTGGGCTTTGACTTGCTACGGGAGGAAGTGATAGCAAGGAAAGGAGAAAGGCTTAGGTCAACTTGTGGGATTTTTCAAACTTCCGTGTCTAAATATAGATGGTTATGTAGCCTTAGTCAGGCTTTTCAACTTATTGCCTTTTAATTTATGTTTTTATAAATACAGTGTATAATTATATATTCATATGATTGCATACTTATTATATATATTTCATCTCTATTTGAAAACAGTCAGTTCTGACTTGTAGCTTTCACTTAAAAATTTTTTGTGGATTAAATGAAATGTTTCATTTGATGCAATTCAATATGAGAAGTCATTGCAAATATTAATATGAGGCATCTAGTAATATTGAAAATGATACATTAGTATTCATTGTAGAATTAGCATAAAATATTAGTAAATATCAAATTCGTATTAAAAATAAATTTTATCTAGCTGGTATTAACAGAAAAGATGCTAAGTCCACCTAGGGAATTGTTAGGCACCAGCAACTGGGCTTTACTTGCCAGAGGAAGGCTGCATTTATTGCTTAATTGCATTTGCCTTTCATGAATTTGGCCAGAAGCATTTTCTGACCGTGCAAGTAAGATCTGGCAGTGGCAGGAGGAAACGTGTGGTGAGTTTTAAGAAGTTTGTGCTGGGAACTTTTGATTAAATTAGAAGCGGTCAGTGGCCATAACACACGTCACACGTTCATGTCTGACTCTTGTAAGTGAGAACTGTCAGAAGAGCTGTAATGTGTAAATATGCTGATCCACTGCATCTCAAGCTGCTGGACAGGTCAAATCTTACTGTTCATCAAAACCTTGAGGGGCAACCGCAGGAAGGAACAGAGGGTGTATTCAGTCAACTTATGGATTCAGATCTCAATCCAGAGTCGCTTTGGTCAAGAGGCCAGTGGGGGTCAAACCCCACCTCCCACCCTGGGGCTCGGAAGATGGAGCTCCACGGGGAACTCATGGTATTTTGGAGTCCTCCATTGCTCTCACCATGTATCTCTGGTCTGGTGCCTGCTGCTAGAACCTGCTGTCTCAGAAATTAGATTTATATGGCCAGGCATCATCAGTGTGTAGCAAATCACTGAGACAAAACATTTCTAACACCCTTTTGACTGCAGAAAGAAATTAGCAGTGAATCAATGGGAATTGACACTGAAACCAATGTTTAGTTATATAAGCGTTCCCCTGGACCCTTAAGCAGTAACATAAAATAAATATGAAAGCTGCAAAATCCTTTAGCAAAGCAAAAAAATATGGTCTATTATAGTGTTAGGTAGAGCTAACATGAGACACACAAAAAAAAGGCCAAATATTTCCTGTTATATTAAAATAAATAATGTGTTCTTTTCTTCAGAAATATGATTTCTAAACTTCTTTTGCTATATATGTGTATACGTGTCTCTCTGCCTACATCTTTCTGTCTTTAAGTGGAAACTCCAGCACAATAAATAGAAGTAGCACAGGTGATGTAGTATCTCTAATTTTAGCAGCTTCCTTGTGAAAGCCATGAACTCCTAGTCATTACCCCGAGGCTGGCAGTGACTTGGAACTGCTGATGAGACAGTGAAGCACCTCGCAGGAGGTAGTTTAGGTGTCAGCCCGTGCTTTCTTGCACCTGTGCTGCAGGTACACCGAGTCAAATACTGTTTAGCTAAAGTCACTTAGAAACTCTCTTCATTCCCTGATCTCATATTCCTACTTTACCCCTTAGCACCATCCCAAGATCTCTCTCCCGT